GTACCTCATTTAATTTGAAACAGAGGGAGTAATATTTTTTGTCTCCATTGAAATTCGAACCAGAAACCTTCTCACGCAAGGTAGAAGAATCCTTCTTGTGATGTCGCTCAGTTCTGTTCATCGAAATTTCAAATAAACGTTGATTTATCAATATTTACTAAAGTACCATCTCATTGTGTATTTGTGTTGAGTACACACTACACACTAAGGATGATATCTTTTGGTCGGTATGAAGATGATTTTTTTTTCTTACGGATGGTGAGAATGATGCCTGTTTTCATACTTCAACAGTGAAAAGTGTTCCAAAAAATTAATACTACATTAATTAGCAAGAAGAACTATGACTATGCTTATAATTTAGAACTGCGAGAAATCCATTGTAGAAGAGATACAATCGACACTCTGATGAGTCGTTCGTAACCTTTTATTCCTTATAGAAAACATCATTTTTAAACAGCATAGTTGCATAGCAGAATCTCTCTCTTGCACATGGTTTCTATTTTGTTTTTCTGGTATAAGTAAAGCTTAAAGAAGACTTAGCTTAGAATTAAGCAATGACTTACTGTGGAGTATATCTCAACGTAAAACTCAGAATAATCATTGAGTGCGGACACCAAAATCAGAATATACTTAGTATTCTCTATGTTTAGCTAGGAGCAATACTGTGATTTTCAGTGAAATCTTATCATTTTGATCCAATCTAAATTACGTGTATGGAGAAACTAGAGAGGACCTTCTCCAGGGAGAAACAGAACTGGAACCAAAATTATCCGCATTCTGTATTTGCACCAAGCACCATGATTAAGTAATATGTATCCTTATTTTAATTTGTAACACATGTAGTAAATTTATTAATTTAGCATAAATACTAGCTGCAGGAAAGTATGTTGTAACCCCTGAATAACCAAATGTCTAAAAGAGAATAGTATTGCAGTTAAATAATTGGACTATACGTGGAATTTAAATCTGCCAATTAAACTACATAAACCAAATTAACTAACTAATTACATGTAAAAGATATTTATTTTATATCACCTGACACTTAACTATATCACCAAAAAAGAAAAAATAAAAAATAAAAAATAAAAATCAGAGGAAGAAGAGTCAAGATTATACACCTAGCTACTACAATCCAAAAGTGCAACTTGAGTATTAATTTTTGGTCCCAAACATCATTCCATGTTACATGCTGTAAGAATAGACGTCCACGATGGCTAAAAGCAATGAAAAGAAAATGAGAGCTAAATTAGTTAACGTGTTATAAATAGAGTTCTATTTATGGTGAATGTCTATATTTAGAGAGATTTTAGGGTTTATTACTTGGTGGCTAAGTCACTTTTTCCCTATAAATAGAGGGTTCTATTCCATTGTAACTCATCCTAAATCAATAAGAATTCTCTCTCTCTACTTTTCTCTGTAATACTCTTCTTCTTCTTTTATTGTTTCATAACACGTTATCAGCACGAGACTCTAACCAATTGAGTAGAAGCTTTGGGATTGAGCATAATGATTGTCAATTATTCCATGAACTTCCTTCATGATTAAATTCTGGATTTAAGGTAAGTATTTTACTTTATTTTTCTCTTTTAAATTCTTGAAATTCTATAATTTGATGTTATATACAAGCAAAGACAAGAAAGTTTGATTATAACTCTAATGGAGTTTGTAAGAAATTATAACCACCTGAAGTGGTAAAAATTTCTATGTCTTGCCATGATCAAATTCATGTATGATTATGGGCACAAAAAGTGGAAACCCGTCCCATTGAATTTGCTCCATTCTCATTCCCTTAAGAGAATGTGATAGCAGTATGTGATAAGTCTGAAAGAGGACAAAATTATCACTATGAATGTATCAATGGATGTGGACGTGGCAATAGACGAAATTATAACCGTCATCATTGTGATAATGAGAATAATAAGGATTCTCAAAATAATCCCCCACTTGTGAAAATATTTGTCATCGATTTGACATGAGATTTTATAAAGCACATATAGATGATTATGGTCCGTTCATGATGCGAATGTGACAATATCTGATTTATGAATACATATTCATTCTTCAAAGAATATGAACGTGCTAGTGGTAGTGAATATACCGCACTCACCTCTAAAAGGAGGTTTGAGATGATATAAGAAAATAATGTCATTATTATGACATGAATGGTCATTGGTCACGTACCTATTGTACGCCAAAATATTTTGGCATTGTGATTGTTAAAAGACAACGGTAATGCAAGAAACAGATCTTGCATATAATTTTGACCATGACTATAATGGTATAACTTTCTCTTTAAAGAGATATTCACCATATGGATGTTGATGAATATGTGGTACTACAAAATTAATTGAGAACTCTGCAAGAGTCAATTATACTATTTTGGAGAAATACAATTGATTACCAATAAGGTATTGTGTTTTAGTAAGTTTCAAAGAAACTTATTCAGTTTCCAAAGTATATGCGAAAGCGGTTGATTATATTGAGACTATAAATAAAGGAAATATTTAATATCTTCTATTACTACAACTTGTAGCGGGGTAATATGTATGTAAAAAGCTACCCGCTTTATTCTCCAGTTTGTACTACACAAATAAAAGAATGCCACAATAAAGAGAAGTTTATTGATATAAAAACCCATATCATAATAAACTTGGAGTTTATTGATAATTGCACACGTCATGGTGTAAATCTGAAGTTTATCAATATTGATAATTTATTCAGTTGGCATAATTGGTTTACCCATATCAATTTAAGTATGATGTGCAAAAATAAAAGAGAATTCACATGGGTAAATATTAAAGAACTAGAAAGTTCATTACAAATTCTCTTACATTGCTTGTTCTCATCAATTAATAGATCAACTAAAATTGGGATTGGATCCCATGAATGCTGGAAATATCAAAGGTGAATATGGGCCCATTCACCTGCCATGTATACCACATAAGATGCACCTATGAGATGGTTACATGTGCGATTATTAATAACCCGCAACATGGTGTTTTGCGAGGTAACTTGCTCAATAATTTAATTTCGAGCATAATTTNAAAATGATTTATTAAGTGCCTCTACTTAATAGCCAAACAATTGCTTATGAGAACAAAGTTATCTATATCAGTTTGATATACGTTATATACCAAAGTATATTATTTTCTCCCCTCACAAGTGGTTCAGGGTCAGGAACCAAATAATTCCATCTTATTATTATTGATGTGCGGTGTAGATTTTGATTAACACCATAACGCACAAAGGTGGATTCTCAAAGTTGAGGTACCAATTTAGTTTTTCTAACATGAGGGGGAGACATGATAAACAGTTGAGAAAAAGTTACATGGAATGAATTATTATTTATACATCTCGATCCTCGAATAAGATAATATGAACTTGAAGTTCATAAAGGATAATTCATCTGCAATATATTGCAAAGCATGCCGGACGCATTTGCTGACCCAAAGAAAGTAACTATATTCTCATTGCAAATGCTCCTATTAAGTCCTAGAAGGACAAAGTCTATGGTAAGCTTAAAGCGTATAGACGATCGGTTTCAAATAAACTTCTTGATAAAGAAGATGAGCAAATGATCAAAATGATCATAATAAAGGAGGCAAGTGATCTAGAAGATCACATGACATAACACTTCATAAAATCTCATGAGAGATTCAGGTACCTGAATATATGAATGAAGAGATCTCTATGTTATGTCTTTATGAAAAATAAGGAGGTTGGAACCGATATAAAATGTTTGTCGACGACATCTATAATAGCGCTAAATATATATGAGGATCTTAAGTCTGGAGAAACAATTCAAGTAGAATTTGGTTTCATATGAAAGACATGTAGTTTTGAACATATAGTTCAAACACTTGAAAGTATAAAGTCAATGATATGTGCAATCAGTTTTCGATATCTTATATGTCTAGCATGACATGGAAATTTGATATGCATCTAAAGTCTATTATATGACTTATATGACTTAACTTATATGGCAATCCTTGAAGGATTTAAATCGCTTAAAGCATATACAATTCTTGGTCCTGAAGTACCATATCCTAAATGCAATTTGTGCACATATGTATCTTGCTATAACTATAAGCATGATAATGTGATAGCGAGAATACCTCTATGGAGATATTGAAAAGTCATTCCACGATATTATATGAAGACATTACATCTCTATCAAGAATGATTATTTCAAGGTGCAATATATTCATTCAAGTTAATATGGCTGATTTGTTTATCAAATATCTACCAAAGATCTTTTGAAGATGGTGCACAAGATTGGAATGCAAATGCTTAAGGATGTGAAGTGATGCTCTCATAAGGGGGAGTTAATACGCGTTGTACTCTTTTTCCCTTACAAGGTTTTGTCCCACTGGGTTTTCCTTGCAAGGTTTTTAACGAGGCAACCAAAAGGCGTATTGTTAGATATGTGTACTCTTTTTCCTTCTCTAGAATTTTTTTCCCATTGGGTTTTATTTTAGTTAAGATTTTAACGAGGCACATTATCTGTTGAATAGACATTCAAGGGGGAGTGTTATAAATAGAGTTCTATTTATGGTGAATGTCTATATTTAGAGAGATTCTAGGGTTCATTGCTTGGTGGCTAAGTCACCCTCTCCCTATAAATAGAGGGTTCTATTCTATTGTAATTCATCCCAATAATCAATAAGAATTCTCTCTCTACTAATACTCTTCTTCTTCTTTTATTATTTCATAACATAACGAATATTTTAAACTTCTCTTATAATATGATGAAATAGAAAGGGGTTTAATCTAGCCAGTACCGTAATCAAGGTGAATTAAACAAGAATATTGGTATACATACAGACAACGTCAAAATTACTCTATCACTCCAATTTAAAGCTACTTTCTTTTTGTACATAACTAGTGAGTATAATAAAGTAAATAAAACGACCAATGACTAAGGAGACGGTCTCGGTCAACGTCGGCTTTCAACCATAGAAAATTAGAAATTAAACTGAAATGACTTAAGAGTCAAACACACAAGTCTTGGCCATTGCTCTCTAGTCTCTCTATCTGTTCGACTCTGATCATATAATATCTCTATACACAAATACAAAAATTCAATTCATAACAACACCATGGCAACTACCATTGCTCTGTTTTCCTTTCTGCTATTATTAAGTTTTGCGGTTGCTACTGTTTCTGTTACGCCATCACAGTACAATGCCACCGTCCATTTCTTGCTCAACTGTGGCGCATCATCAGACGCCACAGACGAAGATGACCGTCTATGGAATACTGATATCCACATCACAAATCTCTTACCATCCAACTTTGCAGCCATATCCACACCAGCCGTAGCTTCTGAACAAGGCTCTGTCACTACAGTCCCTTATATGAATGCTCGTATTTTCAAATCTCAGTTCACCTACACTTTCCCTGTTTCCCCTGGCACCAAATTCCTTCGTCTCTATTTTCACCCAGCCGATTACTCTGACGGCCGCTTCAATAAATCTGAATCCTTTTTCTCTGTTACTGCTAATCATGTCACTCTCTTGAGTAACTTCAGCGCTTTCCTCACTGCCTCTGCTAGTGACGATGATGAGTCTAGTCAAGCAATTCGAAAAGAATACGTCATCAATGTTGATGAAAGTCAGAGACTAAATATTACTTTTTCTCCTTCACCAAACTCTTATGCTTTTGTTAATGGGATTGAGATTGTTTCCATGCCAACTGATCTTTACATCCGCGGAGACGAATACGGCATCAAATTGGTACAGGGGCAGAATAATTTTTATTACATCAATAATAGCACTGCTCTTGAAACTTTGTACAGACTGAACGTGGGAGGCAATTTGGTTTCAAGCAAAGAGGATACAGGGATGTATCGTATGTGGGCTGCAGATCAGAATTTTGTTGTTGGACTTGGTTTTCAAACTCCACATTTAGATGTCAACATCTCTTACACTTCTCAAACCCCGGCTTATACTGCGCCAACCATAGTTTACACAACCTCTAGGACAATGGCCAATTACAGCCAAAGCCTGGATTGGATATTCCCATTGGATTCTGGGTTCTACTATCTGTTCAGGCTCCATTTTTGTGAGTTTCAGCTGGAAATTAAGGATGCGAATTATCGGGTTTTTGATATATCCATTGGAAACCAAACGGCAGAGAAATTGGCTGATGTGATACTATGGAGCGGCGGCTCGGGAGTCCCGGTTTATAGAGACTACGTGGTGTATGTGAGAGACACAGATGGCCGGCGAAGCAAGGAAGATGTATGGCTTGAATTGCGCCCTAACATGGAAACAAAAGCTGCCTATGCTAATGCTATCTTAAATGGCTTAGAAATTTTCAAATTGAATGACACAATTGGAAATCTGGCTGTGCCAAATCCTGAATTGCACTTACAAGTTCCGATCAATTCACCACCAATCAAAAAAGAGAAAAAATCATCGCATACTGTTATTTATGTCATTGCAGGTGTGATTAGCGCATTAGCTGTTTTCTCAATTCTGGGGTTTTTTATTTTCCGGCGACGGAAAAGTGGGAAAGATTCCGGTGGAAGCGTTACAAAGACATCGTGTATGTCAATTACGTCGGAGTCAACTCAAAAGACCGGCCGCTCAGGTTCATCAACGCTACCGTCCGATTTGTGCAGACACTTTTTATTAGATGAGATTAAAGCCGCAACAGGCAATTTTGATGACAATTTTGTGATAGGCTATGGAGGTTTTGGTAATGTGTATAAAGGGTACATAGACAATGGTACAACCATTGTTGCAGTCAAGAGACTGAATCCTTCGTCAAAGCAAGGAGCTCGCGAGTTCCAAACAGAGATTGAGATGCTATCGAAGCTAAGGCATTTGCATCTGGTGTCCTTGATTGGTTATTGTGATGATAACTATGAGATGATCTTGGTTTATGATTACATGACTCATGGAACCCTACGTCATCACTTGTACAGATCTAATAATGTTCCTCTTCCATGGAAGAAACGCCTTGAGATTTGTATTGGCGCAGCAAAAGGATTGTGTTATCTCCATACAGGTATATGGTTAATTATCATGTATCGTCACTAAACTTTATAATTATAAAAGTAAACTCGTAAAAGCTATTATTTTTCATGTTGAAGTAACTGAATTTAATCCACTTTAAGAGTAAAATCACCAAGATGATTGATAGGTTTTGTGGTTATTAGTGGGTAAAATTAGTTACTTTGTTGTTATATTTGGTAAAGTATAGTGGTTTAATGTTAGCTTTTAATTTATTATTGTAGCAGATAAAGTTTATGACTCTGAAACTAATTTAATAGGTACAAAGCACACGATCATTCACCGAGATGTCAAGTCGACTAACATTTTATTGGACGATAAATGGGTCGCCAAGGTGTCAGATTTTGGATTGTCCAAAGTAGGTCCACTTGGTGGGACAGATATTACTCACGTTAGCACGGCAGTAAAAGGAAGTTTTGGGTACTTAGATCCTGAATACTACAAGCGACAACAATTGACAGAAAAATCAGATGTGTATTCCTTTGGAGTGGTACTATTTGAAGTGTTGTGCGCTAGGCCAGCAATAATTCAAAACTTGCCAAAAGGCCAAGTGAATTTGGCTGATTGGGCTTGTAGGTGCTATAGAAAAGGGAATCTTGATCAGATAATTGATCCTTGTTTGGAAGGACAAATTGCACCAGAGTGTTTAAGCAAGTTTGCAGAAGTAGCATATAGTTGTTTGAAGGATCAAGGGGTCCAAAGGCCACCAATGAGTGATATTGTGTGGACTTTAGAATTTGCATTACAACTTCAAGAAGCTGCAGATAATAGAGGTCACACAGTGGAAGGGTACAGTTACCCGGCTAGCCCGTCTCTCCTCTTGATTTTGAATGATCAAACCAATACATCGACAGATGAAAGTGAGGCTTTTTCAGGTTCAGGTGAAGTTGGAGGCAAGTTGACAAGCAGTGGTACCTCCATGACTAGTAGTAGTGAAAAATTGAAGAGCGACACCATTTTCTCTGAGATTCGAAATCCATCAGGCCGATGAGATTGTTATGACTAGCGCGATAAGTTACATGTTAGCACGTTCTTCTTGAAGATGAGGCTTTTTTCAGGTTCAGGTGATCAAGTTAGTATCCAACTCGAAAAGTAGTGAGATCCTGAATCCATCTGGTCGATGAAATTGCAACAAACAGTATGATAAGTTAAATATTAGCTCCTTATTTTTCTGAATTAATTTCCTTATAATATCACTGAATTGTAGCGAATATTTTGGAAGTACATAGCTACTATAAAGTTTTACTATTTTTTCTTGGGTAGAATAAAGTTCCATTAATTTTTGAATAAACGACTAATGTCGAGTTAATAAAGCTAGGTGATCTGAAGTATATATCTGGCATACTGCCATACGGAGAAGACTTTAAGCAGAAGAAAATAAATCAAATCAAGAAAAGGAAACAACGTGAAAATGAATGGGGACAAGAAAGGTTGCTATATCATGGCCCAGTAGTAAAAAAGTGAACTTCTACTTTTCTTCTTCGTTTTGTTTGTTTTGCATTTACCCCGTGATGTTTTATACTTCAATATCACACCAGAGGGGTGATTTGTGTGGTACCCAATTTTTCGCTTAACTTGATTATAGAAGGACCTGGTTCTTCTATGTGTTCCAACTGCTACTGTTGCGGGATAATAGGTACATAAATTAAAGAACACAAAAATTTTACGTGGAAAACACCTGGCTCAAAAGGTGAAAAAACCACGACCTGCTTTCCAGTAGGATTTTCCCAAGCTCTCCACTAAAATCATTGAGCCAAAAACTGCATTTACAAAAACTCTTTTGTAAACCTAGGATTAACTCTAATCCCGTTGTGGCACACAGCCTCAACTGTTGCGACAACTTCAAGTTAACTCTAACTTGAAAACTCTGAGTACATAGTACAATTGCTTCTAGATAAGTTGAAGGGTACAATATGAAAATTACCTACTACAATTGAACTAGAATAAAAGACAGACACTTGGAACTGGTTCTTCTATCTGGTTCAAGTAGCTTCAGGTTTGCACGCTTGAATCACACACAAATTGCTTGCGAAATCGCCTTGCTATTTTGCTCTTAATTTACGTTTAACTTCTGCTTATGTGCGTTACCTGTAAAAGAGAACAACACTGATATTTATGGAGTTAGTAAATAGAGATTGGCTAGAATACTAATGCTACTCTGCTTTGGTGGAAGAGTTCTACTTGATCTCAACCTCTAACTCTATCCATCTCTTAAGCCGTGTTCTCTTTGAGTAAGGAGTCTTTCTCCTTATCCAATATGCAACCTTTTCGATCAGGATCAGGAGATATCACTTCTGGTAAGTGAGGTTTATCTCCTTCAAGTGCATCTCCCATGCTTGAGTTGACCATATCTGTGTTTCACTAGGATGGACCTGGTCCATATCTGAGTTCCTTTGTCAGTCTTCAAAACTCACCTTTACTTGGGCCAACAAATTTCCCCTTTTTGATGATGACAAACTCTGTGCTTTCCACTCACTTAGGCCCTGTCAGAACTCATCTTATTCATCAATGCAAAGTTAGATTTTTTTTTCTTATCATCAAGGACAAGGTTCATTAGGTTATAAACATCACTTATTCAGAATATAAAGCACAATATCTCTTCCCCCTTTTGGCATCATCGAAAAGTTGCATAAACACAGTGTGATTTCCAGAATTATAAAAATTACTCATGGCCACTGGGGAAACTGCAAGTGCAATCATGGATTAATCATCAGTAATCAACCAAACATAATCAAACTATCAAGGAAATATAAACAGTCAACAAGAGCGAAAACAACATACTTCATGGATAGAGAATATGATGCTACGACAGTCCACAAAAAGAAATAAAACAGTCAAACAAGAAAAATCCCTAATCTGGGTCACTGAAAGGTCTAGACAAGGTTCAGAGAATGAAGGCTAAAGATCTTAAGGCTTGGAAGAGCTGGAGGGTTGGGTTTTGGCTTGAAGAAGGTTCAACATATTTTGAAGAATGCCATCATTCTTCTCCTTTTCCTTTGTGAGCTTAGTTCTGAAAACATCTCTCTCAGATTTCACCTCTGCTAAACGAGCCTTCAACCAAGCTGTCTCAGCATCCTTTGCCCCACTCTCCTGCACCAGAGCTCTGACTTTGCTATTTATAGGTGTCTTCTAAGATGAACCAGGTTCACTGGGAACGGCAGTCACCTCATAGTCACAAGCAATCAGAGTGTTGATTCCAAAATGGTCTTTGCTTGTGGCCATTGTAGACATGTAATTTTTGACCCTCCCCAAGATTTTATACATTTTTAGCGTAGATATTTAGTTTAGGTTTAGTGTCGCTATTCTAAATAGCTTGACTCTTTTACTTTATTTTATCACAAAAATAAAAAATTACAAAAATATTTTCTTTTATTTAGCTAATTGATATTTTATCTAGTTACTTGTAGTTTATGTACCTTTCATAAAATAAAAATAAAAAATACAAAAATAGTACCTTATTTTTATCTTTATATAATCTTGAAAATACAAAATATAGTTTCATGTTTTAATATAGTTTAGTTTAATTAATTCGAATTAGTTTTTGCATTGTGTAGTATTTTTATCTTATATTAAAGGGAGATAACTAAGGTTTTGGACCACAATTATAAGAGTCTTAGAGCCCAAAATTAGAACCCAATTCGGATCTACCCCATAATAACCCAAGCCCAACACCCCCAAAACCCTAGACTTAGACTTAAAAGCAACCCTAAAATACCTAAAAAGAGAGAGCCGTTTCTAATAAAAAAAAACCCTAGGACCTTTCTTCTTCAACCTTAGGAGACCAGCCGTTTTTCATCAGAGAAAACCCCCCCACCCTGAACTTCATTTTCTTCAGCACTTAAGACAACCTAAAATTCCCAACCCTAGAACTCACAAAACCAGCCGCCGGCGAAGAACCCATCTCCAGTCAGCCACCTTCAAACGACCAGACCAACGAGCAACCTTCTTTATCATCCTCACGTCGCCCAGCCATCACTTCACACCAGCGACCGCTCATCTCCAAAACCTCACTGCCTCACGACCATCCTCATCACCCGCCTCTGCCATCTCCCTCACTCGAGTTGTTGCCTACCCGGAATTGGTCACCGTCGAGTGACGACGCTGCCATCAGCAGCAACGGACAGAGCTGACCCTCATTTTTCTGAAGAGCAGCTGCAAGTACAGTCCTCAAAGCTTGAGCTCTTCAAAACAAGTTTTCGAATTCAATTTCTGGTCAGGGAGAGGTCTGTTTGAGATCGTTGCTCTCGTTTCCGTTTGAGGTCCGTTCTTCGTTCTGATTTGGCTCGCTGTTCCTACTCATTTGTACTGTTGCTTCTTAGATAAATTTTTGGAGTCGAGGTTCACGGTTCCGGTTTTGATTATTATTGTCCTGTTCGTGTTCTGTCGCACTTTCAAATTCCGATGCCGGTTCTATCTGTTTGTCATGAGGTTTAATGCATTTGGTTAATTTTCTGAAGTGATTTTCAGCCATTTCAAAAGGTCCACTCTGACCTCTTTATTATTTCCTATGTGGTGAAATTTTGAACATGTTAGCGTGATATTTTCTTGCCGTGATTTGACTGAAATTAATTGTTCATCATAGTTCTGTTGGTTTAATTATCTTGTGTTACCTTCTCGGTGAAGCCGTAGACCATGGCTTATATGCTACAAGGAATGAAGGGGACATTAGTTTGTTAAACAGCATAGGGTATTACCAATTATTTTGAATTAAACATTTGAGAGGATAAAGTTAGAAGTAGCAAACTTGTGCTTTCACACTCCTGGTTGATCTGAATAACCATACAGTCCCAAGGTCCGAAATCAGACATGAATGCCTAACTTAATTGCCACAACCTATTCATTATTCTTGGGGACTGAACAATTAAGGGATTGTGTTGTTTGGTTCATTGAACATTATCGGGATGTGATAATATTTGAGATGATTTATATTTGAACTACTTGGATTGAATCTGAAATGGACATATCAATTTGTAAGCATTTGACGTTCTTTGGATTCCATTTGAATTCCTTGGTTGGAAAAGGTGTGGGTTTGTTGTCATTGATTTGTTTGCGGGAACTGTTCTGCTTCCAACATTTTCTAGACTTGGTAGGACGATAATTACATCGTAGCTTTCTTTAGGCGCGATTAAATAAATCATCGTGGCCATGGGTACAGTTCCCGTGGCATGGTCGCGATATATAAATTTCATTCGGGTGTGCATTTCATGTGACCCTACCATATTTTTGAATAATATTAATAAAAATAAACATGTCGTAAGTCGCAGGTGCATTTCATGTGACGCGGTTCGTAAGTGTATGACAGTCGTGATTTGTTCTATAAACATTAAAAGCGGTTAGAAAGTTAAAAATGCATGTATGTTTTAAAGGAGTAATTAATCAGATAATTAGGCCAATTATTAATAGTTAAGCGACCGTGCTAGAACCACGGAACCCGGGAATGCCTAACACCTTCTCCCGGGTTAACAGAATTCCTTACCCGAATTTCTGTGTTTCGCGGACTGTAAACAGAGTCAACTTCCTTGATTCGGGATTTTAAACCGATGACTTGGGACACCATAAATTATCCCAAGTGGCGACTCTAAATTTGATATAAATAATCCTGTTTCGATTGTCACTTAAATTGGAAAAACTCCCTATATCCCTTTCTGGTGGTAGAAAAAGGAGGTGTGACAGCCATCTCCCAATTTTTCAGTGGCACCTTACAACGATTCTCGGTGAAACTGAAAAGCCTGCTAAGACAGTGGAGCAAGATGAGATATCCAGGAAGGTGAAAATCTTAGAGCAGTCTTTAAGACATATGCAAGGGATAGGGAGCCAGATAAGCATGTCTCACAAAGACTTGTGCTTGTTTCCTGACATCCAACTGCCTGCTGGTTTTAAGATGCCAAAGTTTGATTTGTATGACGGACATGGAGATCCCGCGGCCCATTTGAGAGGCTATTGCAGTAAGATGAGAGGCGCCGGTGGGAAGGACAAATTATTGATGGCGTATTTAAGTCATAGTTTGAGTGGGGAAGCCTTGGAGTGGTATACTCGTCAAGATATCAGTAAGTGGCATGCATGGGGTGACATGGCTCAAGATTTTGTTCGGCACTATCAGTACAATGTAGACATTATCCCAGACCGCTTCTCCCGATCTCAAATGGAAAAGAAACCCGAGGGAAGTTTTAGGGAGTTTTGGCTCAGATGGAACGAACAAGTTGCTCAGGTCATTCCCCCGATTGATAGAAAGGATATTGCTGAGCCCC